TGGCCAATCAAATCTCTTAAAATCTTCACTATAGCCTTATAGTAAAGTTGAGATCTAAGACATAGAGTTCGTTATAACAAGAGTTGACTGTAAAGACTTATAGTATTCAAATCATTGGCGATCGGCTTACATTATTTTCTGTATTACTCATAGACCAAAAGAAGTACTTAGCCATTGAAATAGCTTCTTGCATGATTCCATTTTCATTTGATTCAATTTCTTATTACAAAAAAATCTTCAACTTTTTCGCAATCATCCAAACTGAATTTACAGAACAGGAGAGGTTGCGAAAGAAAATCTGTTCTTCCATTCCAACTGAAAATACTGAAAGGATATGGGATTGGTTGTATTTATCCAAAGATTCCTTCTTTTATGACCTAAAACCTGTACCAGAGGATATAGACAAAGTTATTATAATGTGATATACAATTTGCGTTTATAAGTGAACTGGCTTTTTTTAGCATACTATCATGCAACTAAGTTTATATTGCTTAATAAAGTTTTTGTTAAATTGCTTAATAAAATTATAAAGCTTCGCTGCTGTGTGCATATGCATGATTACACATATAAAAAGTAATCAGTATTCTGAAACAGAACACATACGTGAGTTTTTATTTTTGAATTTGTGTACATTGCATAAAATTTTTCAGACAGAAGATACGAAAGGAAAGTCTCATTTCTCCGGTAAGAATTATTACATATAGTTTTTTACGAATCACGTGGGTGGCTTAGATATCATGCGTAGTAAGTGCATCACCAGCATCTGCAAAGTGCAAAATCATATGATAGGTTATACATTAATTTAATCTGGGATTTGCATAGTCGAGTTTATTAATCGACTGTGATACGTAAAAATATATAAAATAATGATAAAAGCAATGCAAAACGATTTTTATTGTACAGTATTTTTACATATGTGTGCAGATACAAGATTTTTATTTGCCTATTTGTAACTACAAGATAACATAACATTTGTCACATGCCTTATACCCTATGCTTCCAATAGAGAATGAACGTCATTTTTTCTGATATAGATCCTGTTTTGGATCTCTATCTGAATATATGGGGCCTTTGCAATAGAAAGGGAGAAAACTCCAAAAAAATTAAAATTTTAGTTTATAAGCCAAAAATGTTCCA